ATGCACAAGAGGATAAGAAGGCCAATGACCCCCAACTAGTCAATCTTAACTATGATTATGTGTGTAACCATCTGTCCACACTCTCCCAGTTGAACCCCAGCAGTGGGTACCCTGGATGACCAATGTCAGGAGTCCACTTTTGGCAGAAGACAAACAAGCAAATTGGACCCATATTTAAATCTTAAGATTTGGGGCTGGAGAGGTGGCTCCGCAGTTAAGAGCACTGGCTGCTCTTCCAGAGGACCCAGGTTCGAGTCCCAGCACCCACATGGCAGCTCACAACTGTCTTGTAACTCCAGTTCCAGGGGATTCAACACCCTTACACAGACATCCATGCAGGCAAAACACCAATGTACATAAAATAAAAATAATTATTTTAAAAAATAAATCTCAAGATTTATCAGCAGGGAAAGCATTTACCGTAGGAAACTATATGGTGGAGCCTGGTTGCCCAAAGCCAATCTTAGAGCAGGTCTCTTGCCGTGTTGGAGCGTATCAGTTCCAACTAGTCTAAGCAAACAACTTGCCACAGAGGTCCCTGTCTCTGCCTCCCAAGTGCTGGGGTTACAAGGCCCCCAGGCAGTTTTCGTGGGGGCGCTGGTGAGCTGAAGTCTGCCTCTCATGCTTCCACAGACACACTTGATTCGTGACCATCTCCCCCAGCCCAAACTCTAACGCCCAATTAAACTTAAGTTAGATTTAAATATCTTTTTAGGTATTTGCATGTGCATATGTGTGTATGAAGTAGGCACATGCTCACACAAAGACTCTATTTTTAAATTTTTGTTTGAAATAAGGTCCTTAGCCGTAAGAAAAAGCAACACTGGAAATCAGCAGATAAATAAAATTTAAAACATGCTTATAAGCACACAAAATCTATTTGGAAAAATCTATGACAAAAATGATTGAAATATAAAAAAAATGTATAAAGCTTTAACAAGGTCAAAGATCATAAACGAAATAAAAGGATAAATGAAAAAGTGGGGGAAATCATTTTGGACTTAACATTACAAGAGATAAATGTCACTCATGTAACAAAGTATCTCTAAAAATAGAAACCCAGGGGCCAGAGAGACAGTGCAGTGGTTAAGAGCACTGTGTGTTCTCGCAGAGGACCCAGGTTCAATCCCCAGCACCTGAGTGCTTAAACTCATCTTTAACTCACAACCGACTTTAATTCTAGTCCCAGGGGATCTGACACTCTCTTCTGGCTTCTGTAGACATGCACGCAGGGCACAGATATACAAGATAGAAATACAAGATACCCATAAAAGTTAAATGAATGAATGAATGAATGAATGAATAGAAAAGGGGTCAAAAAGTAAAAGTCCTTACCATGAAACCCTGGCCGACCTGAGTTCACTTCCCAGAGCCCACAGTGGAAGAGAACTAATTCCTAAACGTGTTTCATGGCATGTTTATATTTGCACATGCGCACACACACACACATACAGGCACGCACACAAACACATACACATCATGCATATACACGATAATAAGCCAATAAAATGAGAATCAGTTCAATTATCCCTAACTACATACAAGAAAAAAGATGTTCAGCACTCAACTATAATAGAAGAAATAAATGTCCTACCAGAAACTACAACGCGCCAACAGACCTAAGTGGTAGGCAACGGGCACCCTTGTCACTCAGACGGGCTATTTTCAAGGATGCAGAACAAATGTGAGCAGGTCATGCAAGGACACACGGGCCACAAAGAAGTGTTTGGTAATCATGCTGCCAGGAATAAGGGTAATATTATTCTTTCAAAGGTTACACACACCGTAGAGCAAGCAGAGGCATGCGTCACTCTCAGAGACGACCAAATTGCTGGAGAAGACTACACACTGTCTTGTTTCCTTTGCCCTCCGAGCTTTGCCTGGCTCACAGTGATATCTCTGAGCCTTCATGCATCATAAGTGGATGAATCGGAGTGAACCACCCAGACCTGCTGGGAGAGAGCCAGGCCCCAAATGTCCTTGGAGACCTCTTGGTAGTCAGCTCTTGTGACTTGTGAATGCCTTTGGAGCTTAATCAGAACAAGATATCATTTGCGAAATACCTAGGTCCTCCTGAACAAAGGCAAGCCCAGATTCACCCTACCATGGTGTTCTGGGAACAGAGTTTCCATGCTACGGCCCTGAGCTGGATTGCATCTGTCTTTAGTGAGGCTTTCTGGTGAGAAATGAACCATGATACTGCTTGCACACAGGAAGAAAATCACCTTTCTCTTTATGACCTGTGGACAGCAGCCTAGCAAAGCTGCAGATCTTCAGGATTTTTCTGAGCTCTGCCCTGAAAATAACCTGTCTTATTATAATCAAAAACATTCCCATGAGGAGCCTACCTATCCCTCTTGACTATGGAGCGCTGAAGGTCCTAACAACCAGATGGTACTGTGTTATCTTTTATTCAGATTGCTTAGTAAAGCTTTCAGAATACCACTTAGATGGCTGGAGAGATGGCTCAGTGATTAAGAGCACTGCTTGCTTGTCTAAAGGTTCTGAGTTCAGTTCCCAGCAACCACGTGGTAGCTTACAACCATCGGTAATGAGATCTGGTGCCTTCTTCTGGCCTGTAGGCATGCATGTAGGCAGAATACTGTATACACAATAAATAAATAAAACAAAAAACCACAAAATATCACTTAGAAAAAGAAAAACAATAAAGTTAAAGTGTTTTTAGAGATATATCATTTTCCTCATATTTATGTATTTATTAAAATTTTTATGTGTATGTGTGTAGGTGTGAGTCTGTGAGCACAGCAGAGACCAGACAAGGGTATCAGATCCCCTGGCACTGGAGTTATAGACAGTTGGACTGGGAACCAAATCCAAGTCCTCTGCAAGAACAGCAAGTGCTCCTAACCGCTAAGCCATCTCTCTGGCCCCTTCTTTCTTCTTAAAAGGAGAACACATAAGATAAATGAGTCTGACCACCAAACTATGTGGTAGGAAGCAAACAGGCAGCTGAGAAATCTCTGAGGAGCCAAATCCCAGAAGTCTTGGCCTAGAGTTGTGTTTCATTCCCTCAACAGTAAATCACAAGGGCATCCTGGAAAGGGGCGGGGTGGGGACTCAGAGCTGAAGGCAATTAGCACTCAGTAAACACATCAGCTCGGTTTGCTCGCTGCCCGGTTCCAGGCCCACCTTCCGAGCAGCTGGCATGAAGGCTTTTGAAGAAAAATAAATAGAAGTCCACGCTCCTGTAGCAATTCAATTTACACAGTGGATCCTATTTGGTTTGCGGAGGAACAGCCTGTGTTTGGTTCTGTTTGCTTTGTTTTGTGTCAGAGCTTCTGAATGGCAAAGCCAGGAAAATGTGCTGAGTCAGAGTTCCCTTCTCCGGAGGATTTTGACAAGAGCCTGCTTGGGGAGAGGGCAAGAGCTGAGGCATTCCTACAAGCGGGACAACCCTTTTCTAAGTGAAACTCTGCAGTGCAAACATGACCCACCTGTGTCCAGGGACGCGTGCTGCCTCCCACAGGACAAGCCATGCTCTTGAGAACAGAGGCAGAATAAAAATAGTCCAGTCACCTCCGTGTGTCATCTTACCTAATTCTCAGGATAGCTAGACGGTGTTGTTTATAAAAGAGGAAAACAGCGTCTTGAGAAGCCAATAAGATGCTCATAGTCACCCAGACACAGGGGCTAAGCTAGACAGAGCCTGGGCCATCTGGTCATGGACGATGAGGATGTAGATGTAGCATCCCGAATGTTTCCATGTGTCCCACACACCTCCAATCACTGTCATTGCCTGGGGGTAACTCCTTCCTCAAAGAGGGGTGTCATAGCTGGCAACCATCAGACACAGCTGACCATGTAACCAAAGTACCAAGATGGTGATTAAGGAGGAGAAAATGCACTGCCTATGCTAACTGGGGGCAATGCTCCATCTAAGTATAATCCTGTGCTGATTGGGAGCTGCTGAGACTCTCTGAGACCACAGACCTTCTCCATCAACGTTTCTCCCTCTCTCTCTGAAGAGAGAGAGAGAGAGACAGAGACAGAGAGACAGAGAGATAGAGAGAGAGAGAGAGAGAGAGAGAGAGAGAGTCATGACCTACCAGTGCTGACCCTTAGGATTGTTCCTCATGGGGACTTTAAACCCTGACTTTATCCCCTTCTGATATCACGGCTCCCTGGAGAGAATTAGACCAGCACCAGCATCCGGCTCCTCAGAGAAAGGACAGGTGAGCACTGACTCTCAACACGAGTAGGCAGGGACATTGCAGACAAGCTCCCCCGGTCCACACCCTTCTCACACTCAGTCCACAGCATTTCCAATGTCCGGAAATATCTCTATTCACAGGAGGCTCGCTCTGGATCAGAATAAATGTATGACGTTCATTTTAAATGCTCGTTCCTGGAACATCGGGCTTGGCAGAAATTCCCTGGCTGCACACCATTCCCCACCCACTTTAGGCATCAAAGGGACAGCTTTTGGTCTCCACAAAGAGAGCCAGGCTCTTTTTGCTCTTGGAAATGACTTTCCTTGTGCTTCTGTATTAGAGCGATCATATCAGGACAGTTCCATTTTGTATTAGAAAAGGGGAGCCAGTTACCACATCCCACGGTTGTTGCAGGAGAGAAACAGCGTAAGCCAGGAACACATTGGCAAATGGAGGAAGAGAGGGACACAGTGGTACCTACATGCCTAGCATCTCAGCTAGCAGAGAGACCCGGCAAGACTGCACTGGAGCTGTGGAGCCCAGGCCAGCCTGAGCAGTGGGAGACCCTCACTCAAGAGGAAAGTTCTGTATAATTGGTGAGATCATCAATAAGTCTCTTTTCCTCAGTGCCAAGAAGGATCCCGCAGGGCTGACACATGAGTTCCTCCGACTCAGGAGTCAAAGTAGTTCAGTACATCAGCTTTTGAGTCACTCTGGCCCAGTCTAGAGGAAAACTAGATCGATAATCTAATCTATATTTGTGCGTTCCCACGGAGGGTCACTGCATCGCGGAAGGAAGACGAGGCGCTGAGAGGAACCAAGCCAAAATATGTCACCATCACTTGAAATTCATTCCCTAGACAGTGGTTAGTACATACATGGGCGATATTGATGGGAGGGCCACATCTGGGCAGTTGTCACCATTGATGGATGCAGACATTAATCAAGTCAAACCTTTCAGGCCACTGAATGTCCTGAACACAATATTGACCAAAATATGACCTTGACTATGAATACATATAAGGTTTATTTTATTTATTGCTTTAAAAAAATCATAGCTATAAATTTTAAAGTTTTCTTTTTTATATTTATTTATTTGTGCGTGTGTGTGTGTATACCACCGGTACACAGGTGCCTGTGGGAGACAGAAGAGGGTGTCGGATCCCCTAGAGCTGGAGTTATTTTTTTTTTATTTACTAACTTTGATAGACTGAAGAATGAGGTACAGAGAACTTTCCAGAAATCTGAGTGTGGCGCACAAGTCTCACGTGCTTTGAGTCCCATTATTGCATCATGGAACAGGACCGACTATGCTAGGAAATCTTTCTCCTTGGTTGATGACACCGGACACAGCTGGTTACAGACCTCAGGGAGGCGCTGTGGGGGTTGGTGTAATAAAGCAATTCAGGTGTCTGCAAAAGAAGGCAATGTACAAAATAATCTCTCACAGCTTTTTTAAAAATGAAAAGACAATTTTGGCACAGCAGGAAGGAAACCCTTACTTAAAAAACCCTTGGCTGTTTGTTTTAAAATACCTGACTTCATGGTGGTTTTTTTTTTTTTTGGCTTTTATTCAAGAAAAGAAAATGTTTGTCTATTGCCAATCTGTTTCGTTTCTTTTCTTTTTTCCTTCCCCTTAAGGTGCTGATGATCAATGAACTCAGGGCTTCCTACCCGCTGTGCCCTCACTGCTCCCCAGAGCTTCAGCACAGCCCCCCACTGTTGCCAGTCTCCAGCTGTCCTGGGACCCTGGCACCCGAATCCCTGCAGAGTTCGCTAAAACATGGATTCTTGGGCCGACATGCAGAATTAAAATTAAAAGTATAGTACCAAGCATTTCAGTTTCTGAAGGGTCTGTAGGGGATTCTGAAGCTTGGCAAAGTTGAAACCCATTTCTATAGAGGAAATCCGTTTTTGGATGAACTCAAAGTTGAACCCATTTCTATTTGTTAAACATTATTTTCACCCTCCAACATTCTTGGGATTAAAGAAGGTTGGATGAGTGTATCAGTTTCTCTTCACCCTGGCTGTCCCCACGTCTAACAAACACACAGAGCATTGGGGTTTTCTGTTGTTGCTATTTTTGGGTTTTTGTTTTGTTTTGTTTTGTTTTTTTAGCACTGTCCATAAAATAAGATGCAATCGTGAAAAGGCCCAAGAGAAAGCACCACGGCTTCATTTGGAAGACATGCAGGGCCTTGCAACCCATTCCCACGGTGCTCAAAGCCAGTGGATGCTAGGGATGCTTCCCACTTGCCCGACGGAATGGTTCAGAGGTGTATTTCCAAGCCGGAAACCAGCAAAGCAGGAGCTCTTAGGAGACATCAGAGAGTGGATGCTGACCAACACACCAGGGAGCGAGGTCCTAGGGAGCCGGCCACACAGTAAGACTGCTGGAGGAATTGAACAAGTTCACACACAGTGAACACCGAATGCCCCACGGTGTTTCAGCAAGGACAATAAAACAGAAAATGGACGACGGGCAGCTGCGATTTAAAAAAAAAAAAAAATCTTGTCTAAAGTCTTCAAAGTCTTAGTGACATTGTAACTGTCACTTTCATTGCTGGAAGTGAAATGGCTTAGTGTCTTCTCTGGACTTGCGGGTCTGATATAAAGGAGGCAACAATTATTCCTTAGGGGTCATCACAAATATCCCGCCATGAGGTGTGCGTGGTTTAAGACAGGAACGTGCGTGGTTTAAGACCTTGTGGTAGAGCTCATGGGGAAAGCACAGAGAGTCACGAAACTTCTTCGCCCAGAGAAAACTTGGCGAGGCTAGCCAACAGCTTTACACCCTGAACTCACGAACAACAGCAGTAAAACAGAACAGTCCCACTTCCTGAGGGAGGGGCATACAAGGGGTAAAGGTTACACACGCAGTACATAAAAACAGGGTATGTGGAAGTACAGTCTCCTTCAGAGTCAGCCGAAGTGCTGCTCTAAGATCTTGACTCTGGGGAACCTGCCTAACAATTTGTTAAATTATGTATATATATATATATATATATACATACATATATACTATATATTATATATATAAATTATATATATACTATATATGTGTGTGTGTGTATACATATAGTATAAAGTAGAAAAATGGAGAAAAATAGTGCCTTTTAATATCCCTCTAAACATTAGAGGCAACTTTGTAGAAAAAGGCTGTTGGTGCTGGCTTAGGGAGCTTCCTGTTGCACGCGTCCCAACAGGGCAAGGCGGCAAGCAGCAGGATGAAGCCCCCCAGCAGGACGCAGAAGCCACTGAAATAGAAGGCGATGTCATAGGTCTGCGTCCAGTCGTAGAACCAACCTGAGAAGACAGAGAGGAAAAGAGTGTGACTTTCACAGAAGCAGTGTTTGTATGTGATTACGTGTGCCTGTGGGTGGTTACATGTGCCTGTGTGCAGTTACGTGTGCCTGTGTGTGGTTACATATACCAATGTGTGGTTAAGTGTGCCTACGTGTGGCTGTGTATGATTATGTGTGCCTGTGTGTGTTTACATGTGCCTATGTGAAGTTATGTGTTCCTGTGTGCAGTTACATGTGCCTGTGTGCGGTTACATGTGCCTATGTGTGGTTACGTGTGCCTGTGTGTGGTTACATATGCCTATGTGTGGTTACGTGTGCCTGTGTGCGGTTACATGTGCCTATGTGTGGTTACGTGTGCCTATGTGTGGTTACATGTGTCTGCTCCCACCTGCTCCCAACATGGCTGGCTATGCCCAAACAGTAGAATCTTTTAAAAACTTGAGATTCAAGGCAGGCGTTTTTAGTTTCTTCCAAATAAAGAGTGGGCACAAAGCAGAAGAAACGTATCAGCTTCCTCAACTATATCACACGTGTGTGTGTGTGTGTGTGTGTGTGTGTGTGTGTGCGCGCGCGCGCGCTGAGTCAGGGTCTCGTGTAGCCAGCACTCACCATATACCCAAGATGAACTTAAACTTCACACTCCCAAGGGCTAGGGTTACAGGTGTGGGCGGGCACTCACACCTGGTTTCAGACAGGGCTGGAGAATAAACGTAGAGTTTCCTGGACACTAGGCAAACACCCTTCCAGCCCGGTTACATCCGCATCCCTAGCCAAATAATCTTGAATAAACTACCGTGAAATAATCCACTCTCCGGAATTGTCACAGTGAGGAACAGAAACTGAGCTGACTGGAAGATGGGTGTCTTACCAACAATCGGTGGCCCGAGGCTATTCCCAAGTCCAGCGAAGAACATGAGGATTCCATAGGCGTGCGCTAATTTGTCAATCCCTACAGTCTTTGTGGTCACATACGGGAAGATGGACCAGTTACCAGTAAGAAAACCCAAGATCCCAGAAAGTATCGCCAGGGTGATGTAACTCTTGGCAAGGGGGATGGCACACAAGGCCAGGCCCGTGATGATCAGGGTAGCTACATAGAGATACAAGCTGTTGACCCACTTGAAGTCAGCCATGATGCCTAAAAGAAGCTTGCCCACGGCGGTCATGATGCCGATAATGGAGATGAGCGGCATGGTGAGGTCCTCTTCCCTCACGTTGGAACTTCTCGCGACGTCCTCCATGAGCAGCGACGGCGGAAACCCTCCGATGTCAAAAAGCAAGATGGCGATGAAAAGCGCCGCGAAGACTTTGTTTTTAAAAAGAGACACCGTCTCGCCACAGTAGTTCCTATATGACTGCCATTTCCTCTTGGCAAGCTGCTTGCAAAAGTAAGTCTGCTCCGCAACCTTCTTTTTGTGTGCGGCGGCTGTGGGGTTTGGGGGGTTGTCCCGTGCCCAGTCACCGCTGGGCAAGGTGCTGGTGCATTTATCTTCGGTGCCGTAGCCCTTGTCCAAGATGTTCAGGTTTTCTTCCAGGCTCTTCTCTTTCTCACTGTACGTGGAGTATCTCTCTAGAATATTCTCCGGAGCTATTTTTTCAGGAAAAGGGCAGTCGGGAGACTGCAAGGGCCTCATCAGACTGCCACAGGCGAGAATGTTTAAAGCCAGCGCTCCCACAATAAGTAGGCACCCATCCAGGCCGTAGAACTCTATCAGCATCCTCTGCAGAGCAGCGTAGATGAAGAGGCCCACGCTTGAACCTGCAAGAGAGCAAGAGCCTCTCAGTCTTAGTCTGATCGTTTCTATTGCCTTAGGACACGCACTGGTGGCGTCACAAGCACCCTTACTATTTGCACTGGCACTCACGCTCCCTTAGTATTAAAGCCGCGAGAACTCGGAAATTACAGGACAGCAGTACTCACAGAATCAACATCCAAAGGCCCTGTTTGGATTCAGGAATTATTTTATTTTAAAGGATTTTTAAATTTTGATTTTATGTGTACGCATGTTTTTGTGGCAGGGTTAGATGTGCACCACATATGCGCAGTGCCCATGAGGCCAGTAGAGGGCGTTGGATCTGCTGCAACTCGAGTTACAGACCATTGTTAGCTGCCATGTGGGTGGTGCTGGGAACCAAAGCCCAGTCCTCTGCAAGCACAGCCAGTGCTCTTAACCACTGAGCCATCTCTTCAGTCCTGCCAGGATTTATCTGATTTTTAAATTATATGTATGTGTCTCTGTGTGGAGGGGGCACCCACAAAGGCCAGATCCCCTGTAGCTGGGATTACAGGTGACTGTGAGTTGCCTGATGTGGGTACTGGGAACTGAACTCAGGTCCTCTGTGAAAGTCGTAAATACCTTTATCTGCTGAACCATCTCTCCAGCTCCCTGTTGTGTTCTTTGGACACATGATCTTATTTATTACTTTGAATGGTCCTATTGAGTACATCCTACTATAACCCCCAATCTGTGGAAGCTGTGAATAAGAACTGGAGAGCTTGAGAAATTTACCACAGATCTCAAAGTCGTAAACCAAGATAATTCCGTCAGCCTGACTCCAGGAACCCATGGAATTTAGTTATTTTAAAAATTATTAAATTACAGTTCTTGTTTGTTTAGTGTGTATTTTTATACAGCCATGCACTTTCCACAGCATGCATGTGTGCGCACGTGTGCGTGCACGTATGTGTGTGTACATTTGTGTGCATGTGCATGTGTGTGCACGCGCACGCACGTGCATGTGTATGTGTGTGTGTGTATGTGTGTGTGTAGGTCAGAAGACAACTTTTGGGAGTCACTTCTCTCATTCTATAACGTGGGTCTCAGGACTTGAATTCAGGTCATCTGGCTTGGCAGCATAGGCTTTGCCCACTGAGTCATCCGGCTGGTCCTTACAGTCCTACCGAACGCTATCTTTGACTACCTTTTACATTTATTATGTACTGGGCTCCGTACTATGTCTTATTGTCTTTGTAAAAGCAAATCTTTACATTCCATTTTTAAGATGACTGCTGCAGATTAATTTTAGGATATTAATAATGGTTTGATCATTTAAATTCATTGCAGAATCACTAGAATGAGTGACTTGTATTCTTAGTATATTAGTATGAGAAAAGGCTGACATGGGATTTGATGGAGTATTCCAATTATAGTATGCTGGCTTATACATCACACAGGGACAAATGCCTCCTCTTCAGCATCAATTTCCCTAAGCATACCGCGATGCTGTTTAATTTATGCCGTTCTTGTTGGGTTCTTATTTCATTTTTTTTTTAAAATTGAGCCTTTAAACAATTTAAGTATCACTGGGAAATGACATATGAGACAGCAGGAAAATGTAAACAGGTTAATTTTTTAAAATTCTGAGTTAGATGATCATAACATCCATGCTCTAAAAACTCATCTCATCAAAAAATATCATAACCAGGAGCAAAGAGATGATGTAGCAGTTAAGAACACTGAGTGCTCTTGCAGAGAAACCCGGTTTGGTCCCCAGCACCTATGTGACAGCTCACAACCACCTGTAACTCCAGTTCCAGGGGCATCCCAGTGCCTCCTCCTGGTCCCCTCAGGCACTGCATGAATGTGGTGCACGGACATACATGCCGGCAAAACACCCACACACACAAGATAAAAATAATAGACAAAATTTCTCCCCTATCTTTGAAAAGTGGTGTGTGCTTCAACAGCTAAAGTCAGTTCAGAAAACAAAGAAGGGAGCAGAATGGGCAACCTCAAGACTGTCGTCCTGTGTCCCATGCACTCTTTGTGACTTCTACCCAGTGTGCCATGCGACAAAGGTTCTCATAAGATGCCACACCATTAGACACTAAACATGTGCTTTTAAAAAGACTTAGATTCAATGTCTACGGATGTTTTCCTTGAATACACATGTGTGCACCACATGTGTGCCTGGTGCCTGGGGTAGTCAGAGAGGGCACTGGATCCCCTGGAACTGCCATAGCAATAGTTATATCCTGCCATGGGAATGCTAGGAACCAAAACCTGGGTTCTCTGAAAAGTTGTCATGCTCTTTGACTGCTAGTCTCTAGAACCTTAAAACATCTTCTTAGTATTTTAAAAGTTCTGTTTTCATGGCAGAGAGATGGATTGGCAGAGAAAGACACCTGCCACCACACCTGAGGGCCTGAGCTCAGTGTCTCTGACTCACATGCTGACTGGCAGACGTGTACCAACTTCAGCAAGTTTTCCCATGACCTCTGCCTGAGTTGTGGCAAGTGGCTGAGCATGCTCACATTCATACACACATGCACACACACACACACACACACACACACACACACACACACAAAGAAATGTAATTTAAGGTTCTGAGTTCTGCCTTGATCTTGAGAATCGCCATTGCTCACCAACAGAGTTCATCTATCATACCCTGAAATGCATCCAATCACTTCAGCAGAAATTAACAGCTACAACATGCTGTGTGACCGGGCAGGGCAAACCCCGAATCTCTGCCTGTGTCCCTGAGCACATGGCCATGACTTAGAAAGATGTGGCAACTCTTCGGGGTGATGGGAACCAATTTCTGAGTTTCCTCGTGGCGTTTTTTGGAAAGCGCAAAGCTCTGATTTTTAATCGTCTACCAGAACATCTTAATTGAAAAATAGTCAACATACAGAGCAAAGTGAGAAAAAAAACACTAATTAAGCTTTCATCCCAGTCTAGATTTTGAACTACTACGGAGAGAAAAATTAATTGCTGTTTAGGGAACCTCAAAGAGTAAGAGACACACACGTGCACTAATTAGCTCATTAATACCCATTGTTTCAGGCTTTTCCGTAAGAGGTCAGAAGGCAAACATCTAAGATACCATGAGCATACAATGCCCGTCTGTCCCCGGTATTCAGCTCTCCCTGGGAAACACAGAAACACCAGACAGGAGACAGCACGGCTATTTATGGACGCTCAGTTTCCCCAAATGTTCACACATTATGAAATGCTCTTTTCACTTTTAAAAATAGGCTAAAAATAGAAAAACCATGCAATGTACAAAAGCAGAACGTGAGGCAGATTGGAGGAGAGGACTGTTTTCTAATCTCGATTCACCACTGAGAAGATCACAGTCCACAACCTTCAGTTGCGGTAAGTTCTGAAACAGGTGTCGTTCCCCCCCTCCCCCAGGGATTCAGAGTTGACCTTGAACTCAGCTACCCTGCCTCAGCCTCCTGAGTGCTAGGCCGGCAAGCGCACAGCACCAGTCAGGCTAAAACCTTTATAATATGCTTATATTTCTACGTTTTGCCCCTTTCAACTGGAGGGTTATGTTTCAAGGCATTGACTCATGGTTTCTTTTGGGAAAACTACCAAGATTTTGCTTCTCTGTGATCTCCTGAGATGAAGGGGGTTTCATGCCTGGCTCTACATTAGTAAACTGATAGTGGAGACGCTTCAAATAGACTGCCCATGGGTATTGCAGTTTTGATTTGCTGGGCTACAGCGCATCCCCTCTTCTCTGCCCTCCAGACTGAGTGCCAAACAGAGCCACACAACAGCAGGGAATTTCCAGTGTCTTTGGCATCAGTCAATTTGGACACAGCAGGGTATTTTGGTCACAGTTACAATCACTAGCCATCCTACAGACTGCGTGGGCCTCAACAGCGCCAGTGACCGAGTATTGTGTCTGATATCACTGTTCCTGTCTTACAGTGCAGAAAAGGGAAGCACTGAGCAGTGAAGTACCTTGTCCGACACCAACCAACAAGTGAGCGACCAAAATCTAGCTCCAGGATGCTGGAGAGATGGCCGTCCCCTTCCCTAATCCGGACGCTATCTCAACGAGAACTACTCACAAATGTTAAGTTTGTTTTCTCCAGTAGACGGCCAACAGAAAATGAACTCAGTGACATTTTCGGAGGGGTTTTCTTTTTCGTTTTTATGCTTATTTGTCTCCTAATGTTCTGTCTGGTTTTTGTTTGTTTTTGTTTGTTTGTTTCTTACCCTACAGGTCTCTTGCTTCTATGTTATAGCTTCTGACTTTGTGTTTTAGGGGATTTCTGTGCACACAAATCTGTGTGTCTCTGTGTCTACAGGAGCCTCTCGTGCTTTTGCTTGGCTCTTTGTTTTTCTGTTTGCTTATTTTGTCATATTCAGGTTTGTTTTGTTTTGTCTCGTTTTATGATTTTTTATTATTATTTTCTTGGGTGCCTGGTTGTCTTCTAATGAGAAAGACCAAGAAGGGATGTGGATCTGGGTGGGTAGGGAGGATCTCTGGAATGACCAGGGGGAGAGAGAGCCATAAACAGAATATATCGTATGAAAAAAAAATCCATTTTCCATTTAAAATGCAAGCAGTTTCTGTTCTTGAGGAATATGGTTCTTCACATTGTGGTGACCCCCAACCACAGAATTATTTTTATTGCTACTTCATAACTGTAATTTTGCTACTGTGATGAATCATAATGCAAATATACCTGATAAGCAACCCGGTGAACGGGTCCTTCAACCCACCAGAAGGGTCAAGACCTGCAGGTTGAGAGTCACTGCCCTAAGCAGACTGTTATAATATCAGTCACAGAGACTGATACTACCTTAGAAGTTTTTTAAAATCCATCTAAAACACTAACTACCACCCCAAAATACCTGGAGGAGGCCATAGATTGTATATAAAACTTACACATGTTTTTCTTTGTTTGTCTGAGACAGGGTTCTCATCACGTATAGCCCAGGCCAAATTCATGGTCACAAGCCTTCAGCCCCAGACCTTTGAACTTAAAGACATAGGCTCCCACACCGGGCTTAAAATCTACATTTGTATATGCTATTTTGTGCCTTCCGTGATCCTGTGTTAACTATTAGAGGGATAATAAGTGTGTGTGGCTTGGAGTGTAGCTAGGTGAGTGAGACATGCTCAGGGAGCAGGGCTTTAGGCGGGATTCTGGTCTTCACTACGTGGTAAGGCCGACCGCAGACTCTGACAGTGGCTGCAGCTCTTGTTTCCCGCCCGTCCTTCCTGCTTCCCAGAGCAGCTGCTTTTATCCACGCGCTCTTCTCAGAGAGCTGCAGACAACCTGGGAACAACTAGAAGCTTCCTCAGCAGCCATCACTCTGACGTCTAGTACTCAGGCCTGCCATTTATGGATCTGGGGGTTTGCTTGTTTGTTTGAGTTTTGCGGGGTTTATTTTGTTGTTGCTGCCGCTGATTGAGACAGGGTCTCTCTGTGTAGCCCTGGCTGTCCTAAAACTTGTTCTGTAGACCAGGCTGGCCAGACCACAAACTCAGAGAGATCCATCTGCCTCTGCCTTCCAAGTGTATAGTGATTTTTTTTTTAATAAATAAAGCTTGCCTAAAGATCAGAAGGGCAAAGCTAAGCCACTAGAGGTCAGGCAGTGGTGGCACACTCCTTTAATTCCAGGATTTGGGAGACAAATCCGTCTCTGTGCGTTCAAGGCCACCCTGAACTACACAAGATCAATGCAGAAACAAACCCAGGTGGGGGTGACTCAGACCTTTAATCCCAGTACTAGAGAGTCATGACTTTAATCCCAGCACTAGAGGGAACATAAAATATGAGGAGAATAAGGCTTAGTCTGTATAGTCTGCAGTCGCCCAGCCTTGGCAGAGGTGAGACTTCTCTAATGGCTTGGCTGCTTTGCTTTTCTGGTTTTCAAACTGAACCTCAATATCTGTCTCTGGGTTTTATTATCATTCTACATTTGGTGCCCAGCGTGGGGCTTGAACCCATGACCCTGGGATTACGAGTCCCATGCTCTACCAACTGAGCTCTCAAAGACTCAAAAAGTTGCCATTTTCCCTCTTTGATTATTTGTGCTACATAAGTGCTTGGATTAAAGGCATGTGCCACCACTGCCTGGCTTGGGTTTCGGGGTTTTTGAAAGCTATTCCCATATTTATGGTAGAAAATAAACTTTCCTTCTGGGAGTGCTGTTAAAAAAAAAAAAAACAACAAAAGACAAAAAACCACTTTGCTTTCTGACTGACTGGCTGGTGGGCAGAGGCTAGTTGCGCACATGTGTTTCACACTTTTTCGCTCTGTTTAGAACATTAACTTGTGACTACACTGTACTTAATTTTGAAAAGGTACCTGTTGAAATCAGGCCAAGTGCGAGGCCTCGGCGGCTGTCAAAATACTGGCACGTAATGGTCACTGTCGCGGTGTATAATAAGCCACATCCGAGACCTGCACGTAAGAAGACAGCAGGAGTTTAGACAGGTGCACAACTTCAATGCAGAAGAAGAAAATGAAGGGTCCGCACTCGGCAGCTGTGGAACCAGTTGCCTAAACATCAGAGTCCCCAGACCCCTCTGTCAGTATTGGGGACTCAGTGGACATCTGAGAAGCATCATTCTTCACCCGCCTTAACATCAGAGTCAAGCAAAAATAGAAATTGCCCAATTTCTGAAGTACAAAAGAATAATCCAAAAAAGAAAAAAAAAAGAACATGTAGGGCGGTGGTGGCACACACCTTTAATCCTAGCACTCTGCGGGCAGAGGCAGATGGAGCTCTGTGAGTTTGAGGCCAGCCTGGTCTACAAGAGCTAGTTCCGGGGGACAAGTTCTAAAGCTACAAAGAAACCCTGTCTTGAAAAACTAAAAAAAAAAAAAAACTTAATCATGCTATATCTCAGGTCTCTGTCTCTTCTAGTCTTTGCAGTGACTCTATTCTTCCTCCAGGGGCTCTTAACAATTTAAAAATGTGTATATTTTATTTTATTTTATTTTGGTTTTCGAGTCGGAGGTTTTCTGTGTAACTTTGGCTGTCCTGTAACTCACTCTGTAGACCAGGCTGGCTTCGAACTCACACCTGCCTCTTCCTCTCGAGTGCTGGGATTAAAGGCATGTGCCACCACCACCTGGCTACTTTTATTCATTTGTATATGTGCTCTTGCATAGGACCTGAGTCCAATTCCCAGCACCCACATCAGACAAACCTACAACTTGCCCAACTCAGGCTACAGGGGATCTGACTCCCTCTGCTGGCCACTGTGTGCACCTGCACACATGAGTACATAGCCACTTGGGACAGATGCATGTAATTTAAAATTAAGAAAAAACTCTTTCCTTTCCCAAATACTTTTTTGGTGTGCGGTCTGTATTTTTCTCACTTAACTTCAGTCAAAAACCACTCCCTGTAGCAGGCTGAGTAGACAGACACAGAGAACATTGTCTTCTAGAAAGCCAGAGTCGGGTGGAAAATCCTGACTCAACTTGATCAGAGTAAGAAGTACCTAAGGGCTGCTGGACAGTAGTGGTGCACATCTTTAATCCCAGCACTTAGGAGGCAGAGGTAGGTGGATCTCTGTGAGTTCGAGGCCAACCTGGTCTACAGAGTGAGTTCTAAGACAACTTAGGGATGTTACATAGAAAAACTCTGCCTCGAAAAACCAAAAAGCATATCCCGAGTTGCAAATTTATTATATATTCTATGTAATATGTTAAAACATAATACACTAAATAAATGTATACTCCATGCAATCTGAAGTTCCTTAGAGTCCTGAGGAAGAAAATTTAAAAGTTCTAAGACGCTAAAGTTTCCAAACTGTTGTTTTAAAGCCTTCTCTGGTAGCCAGGTACCTCTGATCAAATTCTAGCAGGAAGAAAACTCCTGAGGAGCATAATAATTTCAACATCAAATAACCACATTTAGGCAAATTCAGCCGATGTCGGGAACATTGTGTTTTCTCTCCTCCGTGGCTTCTAGAGTTTAGGGCGACTATCTAAGGGACTGATGGGAGAGGGAGGGGAGGGGGTTGAGAGGAGGGAAGGGAAAAGAAGAGGAGGCTGAAGGGAATGTATAATGTACAATATGGCCTTGTTCTTATGCGACACAGTCCGTGTACAATGAAGAGACATATGATTTTTTTTAAAGCCTGTACTGCTGAGTATTCAAGGTATAAACACAAGTGACGTGTCACTTTATTAAAACATAAACAGAAGTGACAATGTCACTGCTCCTTTTGCCTAAACAGATGAACACGAAATGTAATCCTGTGGCCTAATAAGTCTTTATTTCACCTAGTATGTGCTTGATCATCTACATCTGGAAGAGACACCAATTCCAGAAACCCCCCCCCCTTGTATCACCCCACTCTGAGAAAATAGAATCAAAATGGAGTCATTCTTATCAAGCCATAAAACATAAATAATAAATAAGAAGAGTATGAAGACTGGGATCTGGGACATGTACCCCTGAGAGCGAAAGCTGTCGAAAGCCATTCACAAATGACCCTGCAACCCATGACTTGCACAGAGGCCATGGCGACCACACCCAAAAAGCACTGCCAACAAGGATTTCTGCCCAGCAAGACTTTCATTTTGGATCAAGGCCACCTTAGGACAGATCCCCATAGCCAAGAATTTTTGCTTGGAAACAACTTCAATAATTCTCTTTCTCTCACCTTCACAGACTTCCTGAAGCACACCCATCATGGCCGAAGCTGTGTGACCCCCCCCCCCATTGCCACACTCTTCCATCCTTGCATAAACCCAGATGATCCTGGAAGACTCTCCTGCAGCTATGCAGCGGGATGTATAAGTCAGCCAGAGTCTAAGTCCCTTATCACACCCACAGCTCGAAGGATCCACCTCCCGCTGCCAGTTCACCCCAGCACCTCTCACCTGAACTCTGACCTCCCTCTAGCTCCCTGAGCCTTCAGCGCAATAAGCTGCTGCCTAGTGGCATGCATCACTCCATGCTTCTGCAATAAAAATGACAGAAGATACACCGTGTCCCCACCAGGGTTCTATCAGATGCTTTGACATATTTGAAACTTCCTAGGTGACATATGCATTCCTTACAACAAAACAACAACAACAAAAATATGTAGGAAAGATGGCTGTTGGGGACTGGGGCACTTGCTGCTCTGCCAGAGAATCTGAGTTTGGTTCCCAGGCATCTCACAACCACCTGGAACTCCGGCTGCTGGGGATATGATGCCCTCTTCTGGCCTCTGCAGGCACTACACACACACACACACACACACACACACACACACACACATTGACTCTTTAAAAGGTTGCTGTTTGTACCCACTGCATCCCAGTCTGAGTGTTTGGCTCTTGGTGTCTTCCACAACCCTCTCTTCTCTTCCAGTGACCATCCACCGACCACACCCACCTGTCCCTAGAGACTGGGGTCACACAGCCATTCCTGCATCTTTTCTCCGTGCAGACACACAGCACGCCAGCACCAGACACTGGCTTCACATTGCCAGTGCCCTTGCTTCTGCTGTGGGGCCAGTTACGCATGGAAAAGTCTGTCCATCTACATAGATGACCAGCACCACGACTCTTGGATTCTCACCTCTGATACTCAGCACAATCACATGGGATTAAAGGACACTGAAGATGTAAACATGCATCATCTGTACCTAGAATGTAGCACTGAAAGCGGCCGTTGTCTTGGGATTAGCTTGTACTTTTCAATGGAGTCTATGGCATACACAGTCATAGACTGTATCTGTAAAGAAAAAGCCTCAGGCAATACTAAAAATCATAATGAGTAGTCAGACATGGCGGTGCACACATGTAATCTCAAAACCAGGGAAACTGAGCGAGAAAGATCTAGAATTCAGAGCCAGACTGGGTCACATAAGGAGATTCTGCTTCAAAACAAAACAAACACAACTCACCCAACATCAGAGTTGCTCAACACAACTGCACAGTCAGGAGAATCAGTTCCATCTTTGGCTAGGATTGGTGACACACACCTTTAATCCCAGCGCTCAAGAGGCAGACCACCCAAGGCTACATAGTGAGACCCTGTCTCAAAAAGAGAAGAAAAATAACCAGGCGGTGGTGATGCACGCCTTTAATCCCAGCACTTGGGAGGCAGAGGCACACGAATCTCTTGTGAGTTTGAGGCCACCCTGGTCTACAGAGAGAGTTCCAGGACAGGCTCCAAAGCTACACAAAGAAACCCTGACTAAAGAAAACGAAAAAGAAGAAAAAAATATAATTGACTTTGATGATAAAACCATTTAAGTGAGGACTCAGGGAGAAGCTTATGGCACTACGTTTGCTAAGGTGAATATACAAACAATGGCCATCATCTCATTTGCATAATTAAAATAACAGAACCAGATTGGAACTCCTATGGCCATGGCCTAGCGGTTTTCAACATCAAACACCTTTAAATACAGTATATTACAAAGGGATTTTCATGAACTGTTGAGTGGTCCAGGCTCTACTCATCCGTTACTAAGTCGTCATCAAGCATTCCTACTCTGCCATCTTCTTCACTCTCACACCTCATCTTTAAAAATCCACCTTAGGTGTCAACCGACACTTCTGGATTGGGTGCTGGCCACAAACTGAAACTCTGCTGCCCACTGTTGCTGAAGTCCCAACAGCAAGCAGAGAGAAGTGACCAACGTCAGGAACATCTGAGCTTACGTTCCTTCTGTCTCGCTTTTCCTTGCAGAAATACAGAAAGGAAAGCTTGAACTCTCTCTCTGTTCCCTGCAGTGGGGCATAGGAGACTGTGAAATGTGCTTATCCTAGGGTTAGAGAAATGGCTCAGCGGGAAGAGCCATCTCTCTCCCCGGCTGCTCTTCCAGAAGACCTGGGTTTATTTCCCAGCGCCCCCATGGCGGCTCATAAATGTAACTCCAGTTCCAGGTGTTCCTTTGCTCCTTTCTGACTTCCCTGGGCACCAAGGCATACGCATGGCACACAGACATCCATGCAGGCAAAACAAAAAAATAAAAAAATAAAAAAATAAACATCGATACACATAAAATCCTAAAAGAACAACAACAAAATTTAATGTGGTTATCTCTTCCAGCACTTGGGTTCAATGGGCAGATAGTTCCCAAAGTAACAACTTAGAGGTGGTCACTGAATGTGAGGCATTGCTGAACATCTTCCCTCCTCAGATTAATTTAATAAAAAAACACCAGTGAAATGGTACGGAGCTGGAGCTGGAAGTTTTATGGGGACCGGGTTCCTTACCTACGACGATGCCATAGGAAAAAAACAGAAAGTAGATATTGGGGGCAAGACTGCTCAGCATCAGGCCTCCAGCCACCAGGAAGCCACTGAAGATGGTGACGGACCTCGCTCCGAAAGATGACACACAGAGACTGCAGACAGGACCTAAAAGAAATTGAGACCTTCACTTATGGAGCAGTGACCCCTTTCTTACGACCACATGATCCATCCATCCACTGTCAGTTCAAAATGGTTCCATCACAGTGCAACCCAGGAAGGCAACACCTACATTTCTGAGCACTCTAGATGCTGCTGCATGCTAGACGCTGCTACATGCTGAATGCTGCTGCATGCTAGATGCTGCTGCATGTTGGACGCTGCTGCACGCTGGACACTGCTGCACACTAGACACTGCTGCATGCTGGATGCTGCTGCACGCTAGACGCTGCTGCATGCTAGATGCTGATGCACACTAGATGCTGCTGCACGCTAGACGCTGCTGTACACTAGACAATACACAAGTTACTCTAACAGTCACACTCCATGTTAACACCCTGGAAAGTAGAGACTGTTGCTATTCCCATTTTTTTGTTGTGTTTTGTTTTAATAAAAGGATGGTGAGTTCACTGTGGAGAAAGTGATTATTGGAGGCAGATTTGAGCTAGGGTTTGGCTTTCCCTCTTGTCAAGTTGTTGAATCTCAGGCAACGGATTCACACTCCCGGAGGCTTAGTTTCCTCATCCGCAAGTTGAGACCAACAGTTGGCACCTCCTGTAGTTCTGTGCGCGGCTGACCGATGGTCAGAAGTTATCCACGCCTGAATTTGTTCAGTGTAAAAAAAAAAAAAAAAAAAACACTGTGTGGGACACAGTTCTTGAGACACATTGTGTCTCGCTGGCGCTGTGCCAGAGGAAACGCTTAGAATCATATAGCACCAAGCTGATTGGAAATGAAGGGTGTTGGAAGAGTCGGCTCTAGTAAAATCATTTCATGTGGAAGGAAAGAGAAACCCCAAGAAGGTGCCTTTCTAGCGCATGGCAGGACAAAGAGCCTCAAAGCTTGCAGTCCAGCCTGAGGGGAAGTCTGGGCAGACACCTGGAGGCAGCAACTGAAGCAAAGACAGGGAGAAACGCTGCTTACTAGCTTGCTTCCCATGGCTCACTCAGCCTGCTTCCTTGAACCACCCAGAATGGTGCTCTGGAGCAGCGCCATTCACAGAGGTGGCCTGGAGCCTATCACATCAGTCATTAACCAAGAAGATGCCCACGGCCTTGCCTACAGGCCAATCTGATGCAAGCTTTTTCTCAATCGGAGTTTCCCTCTTCCTAGATTCCCCTAACTTGCATCAAGCTGACAAAACCCTAGCAGGGCATAACTGGAGTCCTTGGTTGGCTCAATTTGTCTTCTCCAAATGGGACGATGCTCTAATTCATGTGAGTGAAGGCCACGAGGAAATGGGAGTGGGGGGTGATGCAAAGGTGGGAATGATGGGTAATGACCTTCACAGAATGTACCCAAACCAGTGAAGTGTATGTAACCAGACTTGGTCAAGTCCACCCCTGCAGAACAGGACACACCTACGAGTCTCTATCTTAACAAAGAAGATCTCTACTGTAATAACCAAGCATCGTTCCTCGGCATCAGGCCAGTCCCAGATGTCAATCAAACAAATCAAAGGACTGTTCTCCAAGGAGATTTCTTATGTGGTTTTGAGTCTTCCACTTCATAGAAAAGACCTTTGGAATGAAAGCGGTTTGCCCAAATTATGAACCGTGAAAAATGATGAAGATGAAAAGAGAGGCTTGCTGGTAGTTCAGCTTGGGATATGTCAAACAGAATAGCCAACAATCAGCGCTGCTCCTCTGGGGAGTCAAGATTCTCCTAGTAAGGAAGTCGTAATAGTCGTGAGGATACCACTTCAAAATACAAGCCAGTATCAGGACCGTGAGAGAGAGGCAGAGCCGCAGAGAGCCTGTTTGGTCACCTGTCCTCAATAAGCCAATTAAATGAGCCAAATTAATAGGGAAAGGTAGAAAGGGGGGATTTATTAATGTGACCAGGGTGGAAAGAGAGGCAAAGAGATCCGGTGACCTTCCCAACCCCGTGGGGGACTGGGGTCCTGACATGAGGGAAGAGGGTTAGATGGAAAGCCAGAGTTACATGCAGTTCGGCAGCAGTGATCTCTGCCCACCCCGGCCTCAGCTCCAAGTCTCTCCAGAAAGGTCACGTCACAGGATGTAAATGCTTCTCTGGAGACAAACTCCTCCTCTGGATTTCCCCAGGTTTAGCCCTGTCTGCTCTCAGTAGGAGGTTCCTGAGGAAACTCTTAATTTCTGAGAGTCCATTGTTTCCAAAGCCTTATCCTCAAAAAAAAAGGGGGGCGGGCAGGAGAGTCTCTTTAGAATATTTCCATCGCCTGAAAAAAAGGCAGGTTACAGGGTGTTTGGGGATTTCAGGGGAGCACCTGAGCCTTGAGTAGGCAGTGAAGTATGTTTCCAGTCACAAACGGGATGCAAAAGCAAACACAAAGGAGGGAAAGATACTCGTGGCTTCAGAAGTCGTGTTATAATGAGAAAGGAAGAAAGGGGAAGCTAACACAGAAATCATTTCCTTCATGAATGAGGTTTGTTTGCTTGAGAGGCCTTGAGACCATGATTAAATGTGAGGGGAGTATCAGACAGAGATAATAGAATAAATAAATCAGTGATTCTCAACCTGTGAGTCACGACCACTTCGGGGGTTGAAGGACCCTTTCACAGAGGTCACTTAAGATCATCAGAAAACACAGGTATTTACATCGTGCTTCATAAAAGTAGCAAATTACAGTTATGAAGTAAGAAATAAAATAATTTTATGGCTGAGGGTCACCACGGTATGAGGCACTGTATTAAAAAGTCGCAGTTAGGAAGGTTGAGAGCCGCTGCAATAAGCGGAGGTCTAAATGTGACAGGGTCTTAAAGGGGAGGGGAGGCTTCTCTTTAAAACTTGGAAGGAAGTCTCATTAAGATCGGGAATGAAGCCGGGCATGGTGGCGCACACCTTTAACCCCAGCACTCACGAGGCAGAGGCAGGCGGATCTCTGTGAGTTCTTAGACCAGCCTGGTCTCCATTAACAAGTTCCAGACCAGCCAAGACTGCAAAGTGAGACTCTATCTCAAACAAACAACCAAAGCAAACTAAAAACAAACAAACAAAAAGACAGAATATGTAGTTTTAAGAAAGAAATTGCACTTTGGGGGGGAGACAATCATTACATTTCTCCTTGTATTTATCTCCTCTAAAAAGTTTCTGAGGACCCAAAAAAAAAATCAAAGGCCAGCCAATCAAAGGCTGTGTTAAAGCCATAAATTAGCCAGCGTACAATGAGAAATGAAATACAGTGGCAGACAGGTGTGGACCTTGAGTGCAACAAGGGCTTTCTGACAGAATGATCCCGGGCACATGGGTGCCTTAAGTCTTCCTCCACCGCCAGGTGCCCGGGGTGGCAGGCGCTCCACCCCACTGCCATCATGAGTTTCAGATTCACCCTTAGAAAGATAATCTTGGATCACATATACATTGACTGACTCTGTTGGCTGGTTGGCCTGCTGATATTTGTATGAAATAGTGCCAAAAAAGTAACCAAAACTCACCTAACCACTGGCCCAGAAAGGCCTGGTACTTGGGGACTTCCTCCCCATGAAGGACCCACAGAGTGGAAGTCAGTCCTTGAAGGAGTTAAGGGTCCTGAGCACCTCAGGGCTAGTCCTCATAGTCAGCCCCGACAGCCCTCACAGCACTTTGAGCCGGTGTGCCTGCCTGCGCTGGCTTTGTCTCTACTGACTCACACTGGCAAGAGGAATTAAGAACCAAAACTGGCAGAAGGGGACAGCTGACTCTGCCTTGATCCTCACACTAAAGGATGAAAAGCGTCCTTCCGTTGTTTCAGCAGTGAGGTTGACTCCATTCTTCTCCTTGAACTTGGAGAATGACATGGGAACTGGGGGGAGGGGGGCTCTAGCACATCTCAGAATACGGCAAAGCCATTACGTCCTCTGCTTCAGTGACCTGCCACTCCTTCTGTGCTTGTCCAGATCACCCACAGAAACAACACCAACAGGAAACAGATACTAAGAGATTTATTGTGAGGGATCTGTGGACTAAGGGCCAGGCGATACTTGCCTGGGTAGGCAAGTCTAAGGAAGATCCATAAGGACAAGCCACCAGGAGGAGCCAACTGGGACTCTCGGGTACAGGCTGAAGCTGCAGGCTCAGGCAGAACTGTTGTTTTCTGGGCAAGCTCCATTCTCTTCTGAAGTCCACCCAGATTATCTAGGATAAACTCTTTCTCTGAAAGCCGATTGCGTGCTTACACCTTAAAACAAAACCAAAAAAACCTTCCCAGCAATGCCAACTTTAGGATTTGAGTAACCAGAGGATGAATGTACCCAAACTGACCTAGAAAACCAACCCTCTCCCGTCATGAGCCCTCTTCTTCAGCCAAATTCATCTCACCACAATGTGTTGTGAACAGCGCAGACCCACCCACCTCAGACAATCCCAACACTAGTCAAGAAAACAAAAGGAGGGCCAAGTGGTGGTGCTACACGCCTTTAATCACTTGGAAGGCAGAGGCAAAGTGGGGCTCTGTGAGTTTGAGGCCAGCCTAGCCTATAGCACAAGTTCTAGGACAGCCAAAACTATACAGAGAAACTGTTTTGGGGGGGAAAAAACCCAAACATATAAATAGATAGATATAGTGTGCATAGACATACATATGTATATATGTGTATACACACACACATATGAAAAGAGGACTGAAGAGGTCACTCAGTTGATAAAGTGTTTGCTGTGCATGTAGACCTGAGCTCCTCTCCAGAACCTTATAGAAAGAAGGGTTTGGAGCTTTATGCTGTAATCCAAGTGCTGGGAGAGGGGGGCTAGGGAGTTCCCAAGGATTCATTGGCCAACCACATCCATGAATCTGAGAGTTGAAGCTGGCTAACACCTGGGGAAGAACTTAAGGTTGATCTGCAGTCTCTACATGCATCCAGAAGTGCATGTACCAGCACACACACACACACACACTTCCAGATGTGTTTCCTCTCCTACCACTTCCTTTTACCAAGTTCTTCTTTGAGCTCTTAGAGTTTCTCTTTTCTTTTTTTAAAGATTTATTTATTTAGTTTACAGTATTCTGTCTGCATTTAAGCCTGCAGGCCAGAGAGGGCACCAGATTTCATTATAGATGGTTGTGAGCCACCATGTTGCTGTTGGGAATTGAACTCAGGACCTCTGAAAAACAATCAGTGCTCTTAACCTCTGAGCCATCTCTCCAGCTCAGAGTTTCTCTTTTCTATGTTCATCCTCAAAAGCTTTGAGTTGAAAAGTCCAAATACCTCGTCATCTTGTAGCTGGTGTCAGGCCGGAAGAAGGTGAATGACCTGTCCAAGGTCACCTGACTAAAAGGTGATTGAGCCAGGACTTAAGCTCAACTCTGACTTCACCTCAGATCCTTTGGAGTACTGGCTCTCTTCCTGATCTTGTTAATGTTTCAAATTCCACATATTTTAGAAATTTTTTTTTGCTTGAAGGAAGTGAAAAGTTCATTTTTCTAAAAAGCCAGCAATTGGATCTGCCTCATTTAGAATATATTCACTTTTACTTTAATAGTCCCTTACATTTATGATATCAGAAGGATGTGGAATAGCAGCCCATTGACTTATGCTTTGAGATCAGTGAGATAATTTGTTATTGGTGTTCTTGAGAGCATCAGAAGGTTAGAGAGCTGTGTGAGAAAACGAGTTCATGCTGCCCAGGCGATTTCCAGATACACTTGGCGTTTCCTGGATGCCCGGTGAAAGGTAATTTGCACCGCACAGACAACAGGGTTGGCAGCCAAAAGTTTGCCTGTACAAAATGAAGTTTGGAATGGTCTCTGTGTATTTTAAAATGGGCTCATGCTTGAGAAATACAATCATTTAAGAGAAAAATCAGAAATCGGATCAGATAGGTAATACCCAAATAGATTGGAAGCTTAACTCTTCCAAAGGATCAGCCTAGCACGCCTCTTCCTTCTCTGTGTTGTTCTAGGAAGATGTGAGCAGGCGCACAGATTATCAACTGCTGCATTCAAAACACAGCCAGAATTCTTGGCATTCCTAAACATCTTAAGAGACTTGGGAGGGCAGGCTCAGCATCACAGAAGCCTAGACCTGAAGGACTGGATGCCAAGGTAGGGCAAGAGGAAGCTGGACTTTTGAGTGGCCCAAGAGTGGGTAACAGTAGAGGACTGGCTTGATTCTGTGTCAAAGCAACTGAATGGCTCCAAAGGGTAAACATTAAGATGAATTGCCAAACTGGCTTCTTAGACTAGAGGAGTCCAGTTTCTAGGGCTATGATCTGCTGTCACTGCCATGAAATTCTTAGGAATTCTTAAGCAAGGAGTCTCTGTTTTCATATCTCTCTGGGGCTTATAAACTATGTAGACAGTCCTATTTAAATTGAAGACAGCTGCCCCTGGACATTGAGACATATGTGGTCAACCTAGAAAGTTGGAGACATTGGCCCAGGGATGTGGAGCTGTTGACTCAGGGATGTGGAGATGTTGTGGAGCTACAGGTCAGTCTTGGTTTTTTTGTTTGTTTGTTTTTGGTTTATCGAGATAGGGTGCTCTGTAGCTTTGGAGCCTGTCCTGGAACTCCCTCTGTAGACCAGGCTGGCCTCTGCCTGGTCCTCCTGTCTCTGCCTCCCAAATGCTGGGATTAAAGGCGTGCACCACCACCGCTTGGCTTTACAGGTCAGTTTTTAAGGGAGACCAACTTCAGCCCCTACACCAGTGTCCACGTTCCACATCCCAGAGGCCATCAACTCCAGCTCTTACATCAATGCACACACTCCACATCCCACATGCCATTAACTCTCTTCTTCCTCCTGAACCAGCTCCAGAACAAGCCTGGTCCTCTTACCATATGCTAAGGGGAATATATTTGGAGTTATCCTTTGATTCTTTTCTGGAATTGCTAATAGATACAATGAAATATAAGAAAACGCTGTAAGATCTAGCCACACCAGGTTGCTTTCTAGAAGGCCACGTGTTCAAATCTCTCTATGAATGTACTAGCCTCTTGTGCTTTGGCAATTTTACAAGCAGTCTTTCTTTTAATTTTACCACTGCACATGTATTGTGTGTGCCCACATGTATGTATGTGCACTATGTATGTGCAAGTGTCAAAGGAGCCCAGAGGACATTGGATTCCCCTGGAACTAATATTCCAGGCAGTGGTGAGCCACCTCATATGGCTAGGAAGCAGACCAGGTCCTCTATAAGGACAGCGTGTGCTCTCAACCACGGAGCCATCTCTCCAGCCTTGCAATATTTATTTTTTAAAAATGTTTTCAAACAAATCCTGGACAAATTTCCTGTTTCTCTTGATTCTGGAACATCACAATTTTCTCCACTTGTTTAGTCATGCTTAGTTATCTTATCTAAGAAGGCCAGGGGAGACTACGGGTTTTCCCCAAGGCTATGCATCTTGTTTTGGTATTAAAAACTGGATGCCATTGGTTCTTTTTTCCACAGCAACCCCCTTAATAGCCAAGAGACAGACATATCTTAAAAGAATGACTAATGCTTGCTTTAAGCAGACTTTCATAAATCCATTTCAAAACTTAAAAACACCTTATGAGCCACCACACCCAACATTCCCAGTTTCTCCACAATTTAGAGATTGGGTTTTGTTCTTGGAATCATGGTTTGTAGCACACAGGACGACTCCACGGGTACCATCCCATTTCTGCCTGTCTTAGCACACAGGAAGGGGCTCCAGGAGTACCTATCCACCTCTGCCTGTATCAGCAGTCCATTTGGTATTTAAATAATGCCAGATAAGGTAGAGAAATAGTCATTAAGAATCACTGCAGAATTCAAATTGTGACTCCAGGCACCGAACTGATATATGATATTCATGGTCAGAAAGATAATTTTTAAAAATCCTTTGCTGTTTGCTTTAAGCACGGAAATCACTATTACACTGCCAACCCCTGTTTACCAAAATAGATCTACATATAAGCCCCGTGAAAAGCCCAAAGAACACCGCCACGTGAGATACGACTGCCCTTGCTGTGTGATACTTTTCTGGGGAGGTCTTTGTAATTGATGGACACGTGAACAGAACCTAGTGCGAATCCCAGACAAGTCAGAGCTTGGAAGACACGGAGATCGCCTGCATACCGTGACCATGCCAGCCCACAGCATTCACCCTCTGAATTATGAGATCCCTGGGACGATGTGTGCTCCTTGTTAAATGGTAAGCCGTGTATGTGTGTGTGGTGTGTGCGTGTGTGCATGTGGAAGTCGGAAGACAGCACTATTGTTCATGTTCTTCGATGTTAAGTCTCCCCTATTTTTCAAGACAGAGTCCCTAATGAACCCAGAGGTAATCCAAGCTAAGTAGGCTGGCTGGTCAGTGAACCCCAGGGATCCACTTGTCTCTACCTCGCCAGCTCTGGGATTATAAGTGTGCGCTAAAACAGCCAGCTTTCCTAAGGAGTACTGGGGATCAAACTGAAGTCCTCACGCCCAATATGCACTTAATATCTGAGCTGTCTCCCCAGCCCCTATGTCCCGTGAGCCTCTTTAGAGGCAGGAAACCTATGTTTGCAGCACAACTTTTTATTTCTTAAGATTTTATTTTATTTCAATATTTGTATATGCATGTATCTCATTATCTCTCCCTCCCTCCGTCTCTCTCTCTCTCTCTCTCTCTCTCTCTCTCTCTCTCTGTGTGTGTGTGTGTGTGTGTGTGTGTTCACATGTGTGTGAGGGTGCCACAGAGGCCAGAAGGGGGTGTCCGATCTCTTGGAGCAAAAGCAGTGTACCTTCTTAACCACAGAACCATCTCTCTCGCTCTTTGGCTGTTTGTCTCCACCCTCTGACATGACGCCTGTCACTTTGGCGATGAACTGTAGGCCTGTGGAATTCCGTACTTTCACACAGACTCATCACAGCCAAGGAACAGCCGCTACATCTCGACGGTGACGAGCAGGGAAATACACATGAGGCTTCAAATGTGGAAAAGCCCTCCGTGCCCCGTGCCATGCTGATAATATGGCAACTGCAATTGAAGGATTAAAGAGTAAGAAAACACACAAACAGGGCCACTTACTTGCAAGTAAGCCGACTCCACTCGCCAGGGATCCCACCCAAGCTGTTTTTCCTTTTCCTTCACCGAAGGCATCCAACCATTCTATGTACAAGACCCCGACGGCCAACGGGGATCCATAACAGAGGAACTGAGTGAAGAAGGAGACGGCCACAATCACCCAGCCCCACCCGCCATCAGGTGACTTCGGAAACTCCATGGTGAGATGACGTCAATGTAGTGTTTCTCTGTAGGTACTAAAAAAAAAAAAAAAAAAAGAAAGAAAAGAGAAAAAAACATTTAGAATGTGACCAGCACAAGATTTGGGATTAAAATACTCTTCCTGGAATGGAGGATGAGATGGGTCAGTAGTTAAGAACACTGTCTGTTCTTGTAGAAGACCGGAGTTTGTTTCCTAGAACCCATGTTGAGTGGCTCACAACTACTGATAACTTTTACAGCTTTAAGAGCTCTCACACCCTCTTCTGGACTCTGTAGGTACTGCACTCACACACACACACATACACGTGCATGCATACACACACACAAATAATTAGAAGTAAAATAAATCCTTAATATAAATAAAAATTAAATATCTTTTTCTTAATTAAAAAAAAGACTACCTAAACATTTACATGGATGATTACAAAATGTGGTTGCCATATCAAACTTACATTTTCATCTGTAATTTGTAAAATTTCATGCAACCACTGGTACATGCCTTTTAATTATAAAAAGGCAGGTCGTGAACTATCTTTCCTAACCTTGACCTCCTTCACCAGGCTTCCGTCTTTTCACAATCATAAGAAAGCCTCCTTGCTTTTATTTCTGAGACTCTCCAGGAAGTGGAGAGTTAGAAAGGAAGAGACTTAATCAGGGTGTTCTTGGGTCAGAACTTATGCAGAGGAATGATGTGGTATTTCCCTCTGTGTGCTGTGATTGCCATTAATGAATAAAGAAACTGTTTTGGACCTATAGCAGGGCAGAACTTAGCTAGGTGAGAAAAACTAAAGTGAATGCTGGGAGAAAGAAAGGTATAGCTAGAGAGAAGCCATGGGGCCACCGGAGACAGATGCTGGGAACTTTAGCCAGTAAGCCACAGCCACGTGGTGATACACAGATTAATAGAAATAGGTTAAATTAATATGTAAGAGTTAGCCAATAAAAAGCTAGAGCTAATGAGCCAAGCAGTGATTTAATTAACATTGTTTCTGTGTGATTATTTCAGGTCTAAGCCAGCTGGGCAGCCAGGAACCAACAAGAGGCCCCTCCTCCTACAGGGGAGCAAAGCAGAGGGAGGAAGAAAGAGGTTAAAGGGAAAAAGATTGAATCAGGTCACCAGGCTTGGAGACAGGGGCCCTAACCTGCTGAGCCATCTCCCTAAATACAATCTCCCTGAAACTCACAAGATGGAAGAGGAAAACAAACAGCTTAAGTTATGGTTTGCCCTCTAACACACACTGAGCTATGAGCATGCCCGCTCCCCACAATGAATAAAAACAATGGGATTTTTAGGAAGGAAGAGGCCTGGGCACTTGGGAAGTGTTTTCAATCCAGTCCTGGGGCTGGCCTTCACACCATCAACCCTGCTCACCTGTGATGACCATAGGAAGCTGTGGTGAGCTCAGGTGAGGAATTCTTGTCCCCAAGCACTGTCAGCTGAAGGCCTTTTGCCAACTATGATTCTAGCAGCAGGGGCAAGGGTGCTTTAGCTCCTGGCATTGCAGGGTGGGGGGGAGATGATGGCACATCCCAGCCTTACCTGAGCACCCTCTCAAGGCTACCTCACATACGAGTAAGCAAAATCAAGTGAGCGTTCTTTTATTTTGCTCTTTTGATAAGAATCAGCATTTGGACATTTGTTTCATGCGTTGACCATCCTTTAAGGTTTCACAAAATTCTAGTCTCTTTTTTTATTTATTATTTTTTAACCAGTGTACAGTAGCCCACCATATGGCTACTGCTTACTCCTGTACTCATTTCTGTGCAGACTAGAAAACAAAATTGCAATGACTCAAAACTGAAAAAAAAAAAAGTCCTAGACGTTCTATCTCTTTTATGTCTATGGCTTCTGCTTTTTATTTTATTACTTTTTTCCTATTTGTGTCTCCGTGTGCACCCACACGCATGCCCACAGTACACGTGTGGCTAGCAGAGGACGACCTGGGGAAGTCAGTTTCTTCCTCCCAAAGTGTGCTCTGGAGCTTGAACTCAGGTCGTCAGGTTTGGCAAGCACCTTCACCTGCTGTGCCGTGTTGCTAGCCCCTCATTGATTTTCTGGACGCGGTCTTCCGCTGGCCTAGAACTTATCACTAAGGCTAAGCTGGCTGGCTGGTAAGTCCCACAGGGTTACTTGTTGTCCCCCCAACCCACCCAGACATGTGGGTGCTGGGATCCAACAAAGACTCGTGTGCTTCTGTGGCAAACACAATTCCTGTCCAGAATCCCCTTTAAGGAAAACACACGCTGTAAGGCAGGAACAACCAAACACCTAATAGGATGGACAGGCTCTGAAATGACAACTGAAAGCCAATTGCATTAAAAACCCGAAATTATCACTCTCTGGGAAAGTGAAGGCTGACAGGCAGAGGCAGATTATTGGGGGGGGGGGGGGGAATGGACTTTTCTGGAAGGTGAAGGTGAACACTGTGTCCCTCAAAAACCTAAGCAATTCCTTTCTTCAGAGACAACCTTTGTCCCACCTTGCCATGGGTCATGCCCGGGTGATATTTCGACACAGAGGGCAAGTGGAGTCATTTCTCACAGGAAGTGATTAGGACGGCAAGTCTTGGAAAAAGGAAGTGCCTATTAAGCTAGCCACGGGGACTTGATAGGCAAGTTTTCGCGTCAACAACTGAGGGGAAGTGAAAGCAGCCGAAGCAGGAGCTGAGGCAGAAGGCCTCTTGTGCCAGGGGCTCACTTTATAAGTGGGATTCATGAGAGGGTGGCTTAGGCATGAGGAACAATGGGACTCTCAGCAGGAGGGAAGGATGGGTGAAGGTGAAGAGGGACGCGCTCACAAGGTGAGGTCCATCGCACTCTGGTGACATGTAAGGATGTGCACCCTACATCCAACGTAGGATTCCTTCTATACCTTAGCAATGCACCGGTGACCTTTACCACGGCTGGGACAAGATAACTCACCAAAATCAGCTTGGCAAAGGGCTTATTTTGGCTCACTGAGCGGATACAGTCCATCATGGTGGAGAGACACGGCAGCGGGAGTGAGAGCAGTCAAGCTCTGATGCTGGGCTCATTCTCCTTTTTATTCAGTTCCGTACCCCCAGGCCATGGGCTGTTGCAGATCACACTGAGGATGGCTCATTCCCCCCTCCCCCTTTCAGGTACACTTTCCTAAAACCACCCTCGTCGATGCACCCAGCGATGTGTTTCCATGGTGATTCTGAATCCAGTTAGGTTGAGAGTCATCATCACACATGGAAACTCCTACCATTAATAACCCACTCGTGTTATCTAAGCAATGGACTTTTACCCTGCCCTCAATCAGAAGTGCCACTTGGTACCAGAAGACACTGTTTTGTTTGGCATCAAGACCCATAAGCCACTTCCAGGGTTGAGGAATCTCATTCACGCACTAGTGCGGAAATAGGCATCAAGGAAAGGCACACATTGTACATTCTAGTAAATTCTTTGAGAACTTCAGATCTCTGAACTACACTGTTGCTAAAGAACTGAATTACACTCAGAGGCCTCTTGAAAACTTGTGTAATTTCTGTCAAACAACAGGGTATACTAGGCCATTTATAGAACAACATTAATTTACACTGTATTTTCCCCCTTTTGTTGAAAATAGGGTTTTTCAGGGGACCAGAGAGATGGCTCAGCGGTTAAGAGCACTGACTGCTCTTCCAGAAGACCAGGGTTCAATTCCCAGCACCCACATGGCAACTCACAACTGTCTGTAACTCCAAGATCTGACACTGTCACACAGATACAGGGAGGCAAAACACCAATGTGCATAAAATAAAAATAAATTTAAAAGAGAAAGAAAATAGTTTTTTTTTTTCTCACAGAATATATCCTGATTATGGTTTCCTCTCCGTACCCCTTTCTGTCTCTCATTAGATAACAGGCTTCTAAGGGATAATACAAAAAAAAAAAAAAAAAAAAAAAAAAAAAAAAAAAATTTGTGTTTAGAAAAAAACAAAAGGAGAAAAACAACCCAAGAGAAGGCACAAGAAACAGACATAGCTGCAGAGACTCACACACTCAGGAACCCCAGAAAAACACTAAACCGGAAACCATAGTACTGTAGGGTAAAAAAGTTTTATTGAAACCTAAGATAAAATAAAATAAAGGGAAAAGAGAAGCCTCGACCCTTCATTGAGACAAAGAACTTCCAAAGACGCCATTGAATATGTTCTCTACTGGCCATCTACTGCTGGGCACGGGGCCTGCCTTTAAGGGTTGTTTGTTTCTCCAAAGAGATTCCCTTACAGAAAACTAGACTATTATCTGCAAGCGGTTCCCAATTGGCAATAACTTCTGGGTTAGGCATGAGGACGTGTGTCTCCTTCCAGCTCTAGGACCCCATCTGGTGCAGACCCATGAGGCCCCATGCATGCTGTCTCAGTCTCTGTGAGTCCACATGTGTGTCTTGCTGATTTCGAGGGCCTCGTTTTCTTGGTGTCCCCCATCCCCTCTGGCTCTTATACTCTTTCTACCTCCTCTTCCACTGTTCCCTGGAGCCTGAGGGGAGGGATTTGATGGAGACACCCCTTTTAGGGCAGTGCACTCTATTTCATAACTTACAATTAACCGTGTGTGCCCTGGACCACCGTTGAAGAAGAAATCATGAAAGCAGTAACGACAGCACTTAACTGGGCTATCAGATGGAGGGTCAGTCTCTGCCATGGGGCTGGGGTTTGCTCTGTTAGGAGGAAGTGAGCTGGAAGTCTTTCCTCCAGAATAGGAAAAGCCCCACTGAGGAAAGGCCCACGTTCCCCAGTAAACATCTTCCCCGGGCCTCACATTACACTTCATTCCACGCTCATTTCTTCCATCAGCTCTTGACTGCTCCTAGGTTTGATGGAGAAGAAGAAAGTTTATCGTAGCTATAAGGGAGGATATAGGAGAGGCAGGGACATAAGACCAGGCTGAGCTGGGCCTTGTAGAAGAGGAGAGGGGAAGGGAGGAAGGAGAGAGGGAAACCAGGTTCAGCAGTCAAGAGACCAAAGGTACAAGAATGAAAGAGGCAGGGAACCAAAATGTCTGGATTATAAAGAGAAAAGCCTCT